TCCCCTCCCTCCCTCCCCTCCCTCCCTCTCTCCCTTCAACCTGCTGCCCTTCCTTCATTTCACTGTCCGCTTTCATCTCCTCCTTTGCTTGTCCATTGGACTTATTCCGCCCCCCCCCCATCCTTCTACTTCTTCGTGGAAACTTCGTTTCTTCGCATGATCGCCCTCAGGCTCACTTCGTCCATGATGGCGGCAGGGCCTCGCTACTTCATGAGAGCATACAGCCATCATGCCCAGAACCTCGACGCTATTCTAGGAGGGGATCTCAGCAGCGGCCCCATTGTGCGCATGGAAGAGCATGATACCAGCACCTCGTCGACCGTGCAGCACCAGATGTCATTGGAGGAGGCCAAGAAGAGAGACAAGGCGCATCTGCTAGCAGCAACAGAGAATTTCCTTGTGCAAACAAGCAGCAACTGGGCCCTTGAATTTACAACTTTGCGGTACCAGCAGGAGAGGCAAGCAGCTGCCACATCGCAAGAGGAGTCGCAGCAATGGACGCTTGCACTGCAGCTGGCATGCGGACCAACATGCATGCGGACATGATGGGAGTGCAGAAGGGTAAGGACTCAGGGTGTAGGAGTTTGGTCTTAGTGTTCTTTGATCTGCGTGTCTTGTTGAGACGGTGTAGAAGGTCATGCTGAGGATGAGATATGTGAACAGTGAGCAAATCAAATGATCTATTAAGAGAAACCTGAGGGTTGATCCAGTAATGAACTTGAGAAAATCGTGACTCACAAGATATCAGCTCAAGCTGAGTCGAAAGCAAGGATCTTATTTTCAAAAGAGTTGAAGAGCATGTACGGAGTGCGAGGAGGAGAGGGAGGGAGGGACGGAGGGAGGGAGGGAGGGACGGAGGGAGGGACAAGGAGGGAGAAATCGCAATTCGCAGACGAGCCTTGAAAGTAAGGCAAGTTAGGTTCTTCACCATATCAAGCCCAGAAAGGTAGAGTAACGCATGGAAATGTCAAAGCAAGACATTTGGCCGCTGATCCGCACTGATACATGTGCGGTCGCAACAACATCAACGAAAACGCAAGTGATCTTTACAAAATCTGATCTGATCATACACTAGCAAACTGTCAATTCTCATTAGATTCATCTCCGCTCTTGTGCAGCTCTCGACCTGAATCTGACATCCTCCTTTGCTACGAGGCTGTGACCTCACTTGCAAGTTGTCAAACGACTAAATGAAGATAAAGACTGAGAACCCCCAATGTGTTGTCAGTCACTCACACCTAAAACATCCACTCGTTCAAAGGTGAATTTTGAAATTCGAGTGGCCATCCACAAACTGCGAGAGGAAAAAGTCCCATTCCCATATCTGCAAAAGGTCCATGGACAAAGAACGCCTGTTGCCCAGTCCTTGCAAACACTAGTGCGCAAAAATAGTCAAATTTGGCGCACATTTGTGGATCGAGTTCCATCCGACGACTTGCAGACTGTGATGTGAGACGCAGCACATGGCTTCCACAAGAAGCGCGCTAAGATCCTGTTCGTACTGATTAAACAACATTTCCATCGTCTGCCAGATCACTGGCTTTGTTTCCTAGATTTTTCCTTTTGGCCACATCTTGGGCAGCCTTCCTGATATTTTGAGGGACGATCACTTTTCCACCGCGGCGAGGTACGATGGCGTTGGAAGCTTCATTCTGTGAGAAAGGTTCCTGAAATTCCCCCTGGCCTGGAGCCTGTGGCTTTCCAACGATCCTTTTTCCTCTCACAGGGTTTACAAATCCACCTCTGCCTCCACGACCTACGCCACGACCAGCCATAGGAACAGCACCGCTCCCTGTTGAAGTCATCGGACTAGTCTGTTCACTTGACAGGCTGGATGCATCTTGATGGAAAATCCTCTTTGGAGGCGGCGGCTTCCGAGGTGTCTGTTTGCTATCTCTGGAAAGCTTGGATTTATTCATGCTCCCCATGCCCCCGCTGCTCTTGTCATTGCCCTTCTCTTCATTGATTTCTTTGGCCTGTCTGCCACTGAGCGTGAATGAGGGAGCACTCCAAGTAGACGGAAGCTGTTCCGCGCTCCACTGTAAGGTAAGGTTCTGATCTAATCCAATCTCCGAAAACAAGGATGCCGGTGCAGCTTGGAGCAAGTGTGACGCATCAGACCAAACCTGTTCTTGGGTCAGCGGTTGTAGAAATGAAAATCCCATGGTGGAGGGTGCTTTGAACTGCCCAGCACTGAATGCTGCTTCGTAATTGCTCACTTTTTGGCTGAGGCCATCCCATCCAACACTCGTCGCGCTCCAACCTGCTGTCGTCTGCGTCCCCCAATCAGGCGTGGCTGTAGCATTGTATGAATTCGCAAGAAGATTTGAAGCTTGAGGAAACGCATCCTGTTTCTCTGAAGTTGGCCCTTCGTCGTCACCATCAAGGATGAAATCAGCAGTTCCTTTTGCGACCTCAGTGGCATCCTCTCTCCCATCGCCGAACATCGGTGCAAGATTCGGAGAAACAAGCTGTTCATTGCTGGGTGTTGACCAAGCCCCCGTGATGTTTGGTTGCGAGGACCAAGAAAGTGGCTCATACCCAGAATTCCACGATGGCATGCTACTGGCCGTCGAGATAACCACTGAGCTGTTCATCCATTCGCTAGTGATAGGCATAGTATCTGCATCGATCTCTTCTTTTGTAACAGGGGTTCGTTTCGTCTGAGTTTTTGGGGCTTTCTCAATGCCTGATCCTAAAGCGTAGCCATTCGTCAAATTGCTTGCCACTACTACCACCCACAACTTACCGTTCGAAGCAGCTTTCCTCTCTGTCGGCGTAGCGTTCGGTCGTTTCACGATTTGCACTTTTCCCTTAGATGGGACGGCCCGTGATGCATCCAGAGACAATAAACCATCAGATGCTTCAAAGTCGGGCTTTTTCACATTCTCCCTCTCTCTCTTCCTTCTTTCCTCTAATGCCTGTCTTTTCAACAACGCTCTGTCCGCATCTGTCTCCTTCTCTCTTGGCTTGTCTTTCTCTTTTCTGGATTTGTCGTGTCCCTCCTTCTCATTGACTGTCTTCTTACCAAAACCAGAAGCTTCATCTTCCGACACCAACCTGATTGACCACATCGTCAAAAAATATGTACAATTATCTGGCATTGCGATACCTATCTTTCTTAGGGTCGTACAATTTGCGCGGACCCTTAACCTCATTCGGACGGTCTCGACTCCAAGCAGAGTATTGTGCATGAGATGGCAGCTTTTCTGCATCTTCAAGTACATCACCGCCACTCAAATCCAACTCTTCTCTTTCTCGGTCGGGCAAGTTTTGTTCACACGCTTGAAACATGCCGATAGTCTGATCAATACGTGCCCATGGATTAGGTCTCACCGGCAATTCCTGTTCAGCCACCTTGTTCGGAACAGAGGATAAGAGCTCCATCTGTTGACTACGTTGGAATTGTTCCGCTCGATCATCCTCCTCTTGCAACTTTCTTGCCTCCACATCGCGTTCCTGCCTCCTTCGTTCCAGCTCTGCCAATCGCGCTTCAGCAGCAGCTTTCCGTTCAGCTTCAATTCTCTCTTCTTCCTGTTGACGGCGGATTTTAGCAGCTTCTACCGATTGTCTCATGTACTGATTTTGGCTGAAAGCGTTCTCGTTCTCTAACGCCGGAACCTGTACCTGAATCCTACTGTCTTCGTCCATTTTCCATGGCATTTCTTTGCTGCGATCATCTTCTTGCCATCTCCGAGGCGGGATGCGGTCGTCAGAGAGCCTGTCCGGTCTGTCTAGATCTCGTCTATCGTAGCCCCTCTCGAACTCTCTCCTTCTGTAATCTTCTCTTTGCTCCAGATACTTCTTCCTCGCATCCTCCTGCACGCTCCGTTGGAACTCGGCTTCTCTCCTCCTGCGCTCTTCTTCTTCTTGGGCCCTCTTTTCACGCTCCATCGCCTCAATGTCTGCCATACGCTGCTGCTGGATCAATTCCTCTTGCATGCGCTCAAGTTCCAACTGTTCTGACTTGTCAGCATGCGATGCCAGAGCCGCGAAAACAACTCACCTGTTTTTTCTTTGCAAGGATTCTAGCCTCTTCTCTGGGATCAGATAAAGAACTTTGATATTTAAGAGTATTGGGTGGAGCTTCACTAGTTTTGATTACGATTGGCTTGTTGAAATCCATTTCGTCCTCGTCAGCTTCACCCCATTCTTTCCCTGCCTTTTCGGACCTTGGAGCATCCAAAAGGTCTTCTTTCCGACCTTGGAAAGAAGACCGCGCAGGGGAATCATCACGGTTCCATGTATCATCCACCTTGTTAGTTGTCGTGCTGGTTTCACGGCCCTGTGAAGACGAAAACTCTCCCAGGGCAGGGAAATCTGATGTCCGAATGGACTCATCTCTCACACTTGTGCGCGCTGGCCAACCACTTGTGGCAGAGGGCGGCAACTGAGATTGAGGAGCCAAAGCAGGCTTTTGACTTATAGATCCTGCTGGTGCGGTCGTGGGGCGAAACCCTGTTCCGGTGGTGGTAGGCTTTTGCGTTCCTGCACCCCAGGAACCACCTGAAACAAGCTGGATGTTTGGGTCAAATCCATTGTTCTCTTTCCTTCTACTTGGTAGATTTATCGGTTTAGGAATAACCAAAGTCTGAAACATCATAAGTCACAGCAAGAAATATGATTGGCCATACCGTTCCCGGCTTCTTAGCGTCCGGCTTTTTGAAACCTGGTCTCCCTTGCATAAAAGTCAATGCTTTGAAGTTATCAAACAACAATGCAACTACCAGAAGCATGCATGGATGTCATCACCCATGCATAGCAAAAGGGGTTAGGCCAGCTTGATCAGATGATTTGAAAACTACTGCAAACGTACAACGTCATTCCAAAAATATGAAACGATCAAATCGCAGAATGCAGGCAGCTTTTTGTTAATGACTTTGGAATCAAGTTGTAGAGATCAACGAGACGCTTGTGCATGAGATACGCATCCTTGTCATTTGAACGTGGAGAAGGCACGAAAGGAGGTGAAAAGTGGAAGCTGCGGACCCATGGCAAAAGGGGCTATTCAACCCATCTTTCACTTGTAATCCTCACTCAGACATCTAAAGGTATAATCGATTGACTAACGAATCTGGGTTCAACTCTGAGGCCTATTACTCTTCATCGCGAGTGTTGAGGGAGTAGTATCATGCAACCTCATTTCTTCTTTCAATCAGTCTCAATGTGCAAATCCACAGTAGTCACTGTGCTCACATACATAGTTTCCATTCGCATCAGCCCTCCCAAACCTGCAATCATCCAACTCTATCTAGCCTTCTTTCGCTCACTTTCACCGTCTTTCATTTCTATGATTTAGCACTGTCACAAATCCTAGACGCTCCCTGTTTCTCGCCTTCCTTCTTGTTCAACCATGCAATAATTTCCTGACATTTTTCCAGTATCTCTTTTTCTGAAAAAAAATCAAGAAAACACCATTCCTCACTTCTCGCGACTTCTCGGGTATCAGTCCAAACCCATTTTCTTCATCCATGTCTCGCACCTCCCGTCCTCCCGTCCTAGCTTACAAGCGTTCTCCTCTGTTTGTCTTCCTTGCAGCCTCGTCATTATTACTGCTCTGCGTTTCTCTCTTCTTCCAGCCTCAGCCGCCACCCCCTGCTCCCGCTTCCCAGCCCTGCTAGCCGCCATCGTCCGCGGCCGGCGCGCTTCTGGGGGACAGCCAATGGCTGGGGTGACCAAATTACATGTGGGTAGGGGTATTGATGATGTGGGTAGGGGTCATGACCAGACCAACACATTCTTTAGGGTAGTTGAAATTCATTATATACCGGATAGGAAGAAGATCAGGATGTAAGGGTATGGAAGTGCTCAGGAGAAGAGAAGGGGGTGAGGGGTACTTGAATCACCGTGACATACCAGGTATCGAAGAAAGGGCCAGGGTATGCAGTACTAGGAAGGGTGGCAGCCTGCTCTGACCTCCACCACCGGTACTATCCTCTAGATTTTAGGTGGAATGACCGAACGTGTGGTAGTGAGAAATAGTCGACTACCCCTGGTAGGATCAGAATGCCTACCATCCAAGGGTAGGGGTAGTCATCACCACCCTTGACAAAAAGTGACTAAAAAAGTACTACCCGGCTTGCCGGGACCGGGGCCCGCCGGCCGGCGGCACTCAGTGCTACCGCATGCCGTAGTACGGTCCGACCCTCAAGTCTGGATGCTTGCCAGTGGATTCAAGTTCACATCCTAGCATACAGTCTATCTCTCATGTGCTCCTCAATTCTGGTGTCAAGTCGTGTGCATTAAACTCGGTCTTGAGCAAAAACGGCAGTGTCTTGTTACAACTAAGGTCGATGTGACGACCGTACGGTGACTCATCTGCAGTGCCGCTGTGACTCTGGCATAGTACAACTTGGCAAGTCTAACAAACTTGTGCTCCGTCGCTTATGAGCCTCGATTACATGCTCAATCATCATGCCATGTTGATCTTATGTTTGGTTAGTTATATTGTTTTTCTGGAGTTTTTTCTTTCTGTGTGAGTCAAGCCTTACACATTCTCTTCTCTTCAATCTCTCATCCCAGCCACAACTTCAGTGTTTGACTGATCTTCGAATAGGAAAAATAAGCCTTTCCCAGCCAGATTGGTCGGTCGAATTTCTGACTCGAACTCGGTGAAGAAAATATCTGACTCGAACAGCTCATCGTCACAACTTCAGTGTTTGACATACTGGGTTGATCTTCGAATGGGAACTTCGGAAAAACAAGCCTTTCCCAGCCAGATTGGTGGGTCGAATATCTGTTCGAGTCAGATATTTTCTTGAGTTCGAGTCAAGCCTTTCAAGGAGTCCCAGCCAGATTGGGCCGAAATTGGCC